ATGCAAAGATTAAAATGGAAAGACCTAAATGTAAAAGTTAAACTATAAAGTTCTTAGAAGGAAAAATAAATGTAAGCGTTAAAACTATAAAAATTCTTAGAAGTGTAAATCTCAGGACCTTGAAATAGGCAATGGTTTCTTAGGTTTGACACCAAAATCACTAGCAATAAAATGAATAGGTAAATTGGACGTTATCAAAATAAAAAATATTTTGTGCTTCAAAGGACACTGTCAAGAAAGTGAAAAGACAATCCACAGAATGGGAAAACAGTTTTGAAATGTGTATCTGCTGAGGGAATTATATCTAAAATATATAAAGGGAATTGTATTTAAAATATATAAAGAATACTTAATTATGATAAGACAAATGACCTAGTTTTAAAAGTGAGAAAAGATCTGAGTAAACATTTCTCCAAAGAAGATATACAAATGACCAAAATGCACATGAAAAGATTTTCAGCATCACTAACCATCAGGGAAGTACAAATGAAAGACCACCACGGGTGACCACTGCGCACAAACTAGGATGTCTGTAATTAAGAAGATAGGTAATAACTAGTGTTGGTGAGGATGTGGGGAACCTGAAACTCTCATACTTTGCTGGTACTAATGGCAGCTTTGAAAAATAGTCTGGCGATTCCTCAGAAAGTTAAACGTAGAGTTACTTATTGTATGACTCAGCAATTTCACTTCCAAGTATATACCCGAGAAACAAAGCATGTGTGCACAAAAATGTGTACACAGATGTTCACAGCAGCACTGCTCATGCTGGTCAAAGGTGAAAACAACTCACACGTCTATCAGCTGATGAGTGGATAAACAAAATTGGCATATCCATTGCATAAGAAAAAGAAATGAAATGCCGATACCTGCTACAGCGTGGATGAATCCTGAAAACATGCTAAGAGAAAGAAGCCAGTCACAAAGGATTATATTTTGTGTGATTTCAAGTATCTGAAATGTCTAGAATAGGCAAATCCAGAAAGACAGAAAACTGATTAGCACTGACCGGGTGGGGAGGAGGAGATGATACAGGGTTTCTTTTTCAGGTAAGATGAAAAAATTCTAAAATTGGTTCTGGTGGTGTTTGCACAAGTCTGAATATACTAAAAACCATTGGATGATGGATACACGAGAAATCACTAAATTGTATGACCTAGGAATTGTTTCTCAATTAGAAACAAATTGTTTCTAATTGTTTCTATTAGAAATAAAACTTTAAAAATTAAAAGATCAAAATGCTTATGGTATGATTATTATTTCATAACATACCTTGTGATATAGAAACAATACTTTCTCTCCCACCTGTTTAGTCAATAATGATTTGGAAACAGTTCAAACCATTCCTTACTATCTTCTAGGAAGTGGCTTTTCCTAAACAAGCTATGTCAACAAGAATGTAAGGGTTGTGCCTCAGAAAAATCAGTGTTTCCACACCCATAGACACACACACACCTGTATGAGCATATGCATATGTAAATATGCATGTAATATATAATTAGTCCTTTGCTTGTCACAGGTCATTCATCACTATGGATTAAAGAAAAGATTGTAGAATTTCCTTCTGATTTTGTGCTGTTAGTCTTGTTTGAGTTACTCTTTACACTTTGAAAAAGATCCAGTCACAAGAATATTCAATTAATTAACGTTTGTACTCAGACTGACATTCTATATTTTGTGCTGTAATTCTTGAGGAATACCAACATCATCTTCAGTGAAGCTGATGAAGTCCTATTTGTTAATTTTCAGCTTCCTAACGAGGATCCTGAAATTTTTGAAGTTTCATCCAAGTGTCTGTCTATACTGGTTCAGTTGTATGGAGGGGAAAACCCAGAGAGCCTGTCTCCTGAAAATGCAGAGACCTTCGCTGATTTACTGACATCCAAAGAGGACCCAAAGGACCAGAAGCTTCTGTTGAGGATTCTCAGAAGAATGGTGAGTCCACACAGAAACTGGATGGGCAGCCTCAGTGGTAGCTGGAAGATGGGGAGTAGTCAAGTTTCTTGACCTCCTTTCATTAAAGAATTCATGATCACCTTTGCCTGTAGTCACCTACTGTTAACATTCATCATATTCCACATATCTGTCTGTATATACACAGAATTTTTGCTGAACTGTGAGAGAGTTAGACATATTATTTGTGCTTATCCCTTAGTATGTGAGTGTGTGTTTCCTAATGAAATGAATGTTCTCTTAACTATAGTTATCAAAGTCAGGAAATTTACCATTGAGACAAATCTTTTACTAATCTGCCATCCATATTCCAACTTTGTCAACTGTCCCCATAATGTCCTTTATGGCTTGTTTTCCAATATAGATTCCAGTCCAGCATCATGTATTTTAGTAGACAGATGTACTTAATCTGGAATAGTTCTGTAGCCGTTCTTTGTCTTTTATGAGGTTTCTGAAGAATGGGCCAGGTATTTTGTAGCATTTTCCCTCCATGTAGGTCTCTCTGCTGTGTTCCAGACAACTAGATTCAGGTAAGTCCCAGAAGAAATCCATCAGATCCAGAAGTCCATCATGTCTGTTGGCCGTTTACTGGTGATGTTAGTTTTGATCACTTCATTAAATCAATGTGTGGTTACTATTTTTAAAATTTTTTAACAGCTGAAAAATGGAGATGTTCAAACTCACAGTATTTCTAACTTCCAGTATTGTACATTAGGGAAAAAATTTCATTTTGCACCTTTTATGTTTTGTTTTTAAAAAGGTGTATATACTTGAAGGTCCTTTTGAAGACTTTTTACAACAAATCTTGTGCTGGTTTTGAAGGCCGTAGTCACAGTAGCTATTAGTGAAGTCAGCTGAGGAGTAGAGGTCTCATCAGTTTGTGTCATGTTTTGGCTTGTCTGTGTGTGGTCACTTCTAGATCCAGCCATTGTGAGGGGTCCTTTGGCAGCAGAGGCTGGGGATGCTCCAGAGCGTTGTCCGCAAGACAGTGTTTGTGTTAATTTGATAAATAGCTGCAATACAGGGTGGAGCTGAATCCCCATGGCAGGTCTTGGGTGACAGAACTAAAGGAGAGATGGAGTTACCCTCCTAGCTGCTACATTTTACCTTCGTATAGCCGGACCTCCCAACCCCAGCAGTGCTTTGTGCCTACTGGGGTGGCTCCCTGCATAACACAGTTTAGGTGAGATTCCCAGTGTGTAGGGTTAATACTTCTGGGCACAGTGGATCTAGGCATGGTAATCCAGCCTAGCACTAGGTGACTGAATCACATAGTAAGGCAGGTATTTCCTCTTCCGTTTTATTTTGCTCTTTCTGAGAATTTAAAGGTGAAACTCTCAGTTTGGTATTACTGTGTCTTTAACACCTCTTTAATCTTCCTTTTTTAATAGAGAGTAAGCCTCTCAGGTGACCAGGTTTTTCAGTAGAGAGATTTCTTTTTTAAAATAGTTTTATTCAGTTAAAAAAGGAGCATCAATGTGAAATCAAGTACTGGAAAATGTAGTAACATGAGTGATATGTAGATGTGGCAAAATTGTGTATTTAGTATTGAGTTACAAAAGCTTGAGGAATATTGACCTCCTATCTGATAGGATTAATTTTATAGAGATTCACCATATTTTATTTGAAAATCTTAGGATGAAGTTTAGATTGGAATTTATAATTTTCAGATCTTTTCAGCATGGTTTCTTAGGCTATATATGACATGACCCCATAGGGGTCATCCGGGCAGTACTGTTGTCAAGCAGTATGGTAATATTTCTGTCCCAAAATGTATGAACAGTCACACTAAGTGGGCAAATAAAAACTATGTGTGACTCCATGGGAGTCAGGTTTTGCCACCAAATATGTTTTAAAATGAAACTTACAAAAATAATTGATTTTCATAGCTTTCTAGATTTTAGATTTGCAGATGGGAGATTATGGACTTGTCTCTGAAATGAATTACATCATTTTCTAAAACCAGATTAACTTAATCATGCAGAAAACAGTTAGGTACCAACTTAGTCAAAGTAACCAGACTACACCATCTTTTAGTTAATTTCACAGTCTGAAATGATTTCCTTATAGTTTCTGATCTACCCCCATAGGACCAGGTAGGTTTTGTTTGTGGGACAAAAGTTGAATCCTAGTGACTTTATCTGTGTGTGTGAAATTAAAAGTAGTTTCTGGTGCTGCTCATCCTTTTTTTAAAATTGTAGTAAACATAATATAAACTTTGCCAGCCTTCTGTGATAAGTGCTTTATCATCTTCTGAAAACTTTCTAAATTACCCCTGAATCAGTCAGTGTTGGATTCAGGTGATGCAAAATCAGGGATTCTGGGTCTTGAGCTTGCCTATCCTGAGGCACCATTCTGCTTAAACCTGGTACTGAGTCCAGCGTGTTTGGAGAGAAACAGCAGCAGATGACGCAGAGAGGGGTGTGGTGCCAGCGGCCACTCCGCACCTGATGTGAGCCTTCCTGCCTCCTCTCTCTCACTGCTTCCTGTCTTCACCTCTGTGGCTGCCATGGATTTGTAACTGTCAACTTACTGTTTATTCTCACCTTCACACCTTACCCTTGTTCAGGGTCGTGATGCGGTCTTGTTCGTTTTTGTATCTTCAGCGTGTTGCAATGCCTGGCCCCTAAGAGGTGGTCAGTCGATGATGTTTCTAACTGTGATAAGGACTTTTGGTGCATCACCTCATTTAATCTTCACAGCACTCTTAGAGACCAGCTCCAGTGATTGTTCCCATTTATTTGTAGGTTAAAAACTAAGGCTCAGAGAACTTATGTAACACTCCCTAGGCCACCAGCTGGGAATTGGCAGGGCTGGCATCAACCAAGTTCAACTGACCCTCACCTGTACCCTTGCCAAGTAGCTGACTGCTTTGCCACTGCTCTGCCCAGTACCGATCTGGACTCTGAGGGCACCCAGTAAGCTGAGCCTGACTGAATTTCGATCAGGAAGGCACCTACGAGATTCATTCTTCATTATGAGAAAATATAGAGTTGTTACTCTGTGCCTCCACTACGCTGGGGATCCTAAGACAGTCAAGCATGATCTTCCTGCTCCCTGTTCTCAAGGATCTCTAACTGGAGTGAGGCAGAAACACGAGCTTCATTATGAAGCAGAATCTGATTGGTGCTGGGGTAGAGGAGCCAGCAATGCCACAGAAACAGTCCCGTGGGGGAGGAAGTTGAACAGGACATGGTGTTTGAGCTGAATGTGGAGGATGTGTTGGTTATCCATGCGTGGACCAGGAGGAAGCACATCCTGAACAATGGCCCCGAAACCCACAGGGCCAGACAGGCAGACATGAGAAAGGACAAGACAGCCCAGGGGACCAGACATTCGGAGTTCAGACAAGTGGTTAGAATTAGGAAGTTCTAGTCCCTGAAACCAGGAGAAGGCAATGGCACCCCACTCCAGTCCTCTTGCCTGGAAAATCCCATGGACGGAGGAGCCTGGTAGGCTGCAGTCCATGGGGTTGCAAAGAGTCAGACATGACTGAGCGACTTCACTTTCACTTTTCACTTTTATGCATTGGAGAAGGAAATGGCAACCCACTTCAGTGTTCTTGCGTGGAGAATCCCAGGGGTGGGGTCGCACAGAGTCGGACACGACTGAAGTGACTTAGCAGTAGCAGTCTCTGAAACCAAAGGACAGTGGTAGCATCTCAATTGAGTTCAAATTACGTTTACTGTGGTATAAGGCTTTCTCATAGCACCTGGCCTGAGATTGGGATTTAATAAGCAGCCACTGAGCTGAGTAAGAAATGTCTATAAAATAATCTCTACTTTTGTTGTGGGCGAGTATTCATTTTTGCTCTTCATTGTATATTGTCTGCTCATTTGAGTGCTTTATAGATGCACAGGTGAGGCTGAGAGGTACTTTGATAGGCATTCAGTTGGCCCTCAGCGTGACACTTCAGTCCCCTCCACTCTGTCGCCTCCAGGTTTCTGAGGAATGGGTGAGACTGGATAGGTGGATGCATGGAGGATGGGAACCTAGGAGAAAGAAGGAATGTGACATTTCCTGTACTTAAATCCTTAAATCTTAAGGGGCCTGGCTTCTCAGGTTCTCCTGCTTGGACTGGAGGAACCAGATTTGATAGAGAGACAGGGACCCGTCGAGATTTGTTACCTGATTCAGTAACTGGATTAAGGAGGCCTGTTAATTGCAGCCTTCATTTATAAGAAGTTAAAAAGGAAAAGAAAAGCTCCTTAAGTACCTACCTTATTAAGTGCACATTCCTTCTGAGAATAGTTCTCTTTTTCTTTTTTTTCCTTAATTAAGGCAAAACTGACATGAACATTAGATTAGTTTTAGGTGTTTAAGATAGTGATTTGATATTTATATATATCACAAAATAATCACCATAATAAGTAGAATTAACATGTATTGCATACATAGTTACACATTTTTCTTGTGATTAGAACTTTTAATATTTACTATCTTAGCAATTTTCAAATATACAGTATAATATTATTAACTGTAGTCACTGTGCTATACATCACATCCCCATGACTACTTATTTTATAACCGGAAATTTGTACCTTTTAACCTCCTCACCAGTTTTGCCCCACTCCCCACCCCTCACCACTTATCTGTTCTCTGTATCTATGAGTTTGGCCTTCTCTTTCTTTTTTTCTTTTACGATTCCACATATAAGTGAGATTATGTGGAATCTGTCTTTCTATGCTTGACTTACTTCATTTAGCGTAATTCCCTCAAGGTCGGCCCATCCATGTTATCACAGATGGCAAGATTTCATTCTTTTTTATGACAGTAGTGTTCCATTGTCTATGTGTATCACATCTTCTCCTATTATTGGACATTTAGATGGTTTCCATATCTTGGCTGTTGTAAGCAATGCTGCAGTGGACACTGGGGTGTATATATCTTTTTGAAGTAGTGCTTTTGTTTTCTTTGGATGAATAGCCAGAGGTAGAATTTCTGGATCTTAAGGAAGTTGTGTTTTTAATTTTTTGAGGAAC